CCCTTCCCAGCCATCCACCTGGAGGCCTGTTCCGTGCTTTCCCTTTCGAGTCTGTGCCTCCTACCTCGTCCTGTCCGCCTCTCACCTCACACGGGCTTCCCCTGGACATGTGGCTCATCTTCCTTCCCTACCCCTTCCCCTGGCTGCCCCGTCAATGCCTGTGGGCTCACGTCTTTCCTGTTTCCAGATCCCAAGCCTCAGGGCGGGCTCAGATGCCTCTGCTCCCTCACCCTCGCCTCCTACGCCCACTCCTGCACCCCACGACGCTTCTGGTGGGCCCCCTGGCTTGCCCCTGCTTTCTCTCTTCCCTCCGTCCCGGCCTCGCCTGGCTGGGCCAGCTCTTGCCACGGGCTCTCACTTGGTTCTGTGCCTCCGGTTCATCCTCCACGCGGCTGCCAGTGTGGTTTTGTCCAAGCACAGTATGGCGGCTGCCAGGATCCGACCGTGGCTCCTCTCGTGGCCCCTCTCGTGGCCATCCACCCCCACCCATCTCAGAGGCCTGGAGTGGCGTGGATTGTGGCATTGGGCCGCGGGGCATAGACGAGCAAACCTGGAGTGTGCCAGCCACCTGTGGTGTAGACGGGGCCCGAGACTGACCCTGCTGGCCTCGAAAATCAGTGGTTCTCAGGCTCACTACAGTGCGGATGCCCGTTTGCTCGAGAGAGGTAGAGATGGATGTCCTTAAGTTGGATGAAACAGGATTTCTCCTAAAAGTATACGTAAAAGTAATTCTTTACAAGACTCTCAATGTAGGATTTTTTTTTTTTTTTTTTACTGTGTCTGTATTTTTCCGGAATACGGTTGTATACATGAGCGCTGTTTGAAAAATTCAAGTTCAGAAATACATACTGTGGAAACAGTTCCCAGTCCCCACTGCCCATAGATAATCACGGTTAATGGTTTCGAGACTCTTCTTTCTCCCCCAAATGGGATCGTTTAGCGTCCTGTGGCTTGCTGTCTTCATCTGCTCTGAATCAGTCTCTTCAGCACGGGTGAAGCTACCTGATCCTTTTTTAATGGCTTTTTCATATTCTATCCTGTGGACAGAGCGTAATCCGGGAAAACAGAGGCTGAACACGTTTGCTGGGGCACACAGACGGTGAAGTTCACCTGCTTGCCTGTTCCTTTGACCCCCTGTTGGTCTTTGCCCCGCCCACCCCCAGTTGGCTCTTGGCCGCTGTCTCCCTCTTCTCCGAGCTGTTTTGTACTTCCCGCCTGGGGGGAGGGAGGGACCGACGCGCTCTCTGCCTGTCACCCCGCTCAGAGTCGGACAGATGTGAAATGGACATCTTCCAGACACTTCCAGATGTGAAATGTTCGTGGACTTCATAAAGTCAAAGTGAAGTAGACTCAGCCCTCAGTTGAGGGAGAGCTGGTTGACCCTCAGGGCGCAGTGAACCGGGGGCAGCCGGGCGCAGAGTGGAGGGGCCAGCCAGGAAGCTAGTCAGTCTGGATCTCGGTGGGGAACAGAGGTTACGGAATCCTGACGGCGGCTGTGTGGCCTCGATCGTCTAGGGAGAGCCCTGCAGAGGGAAGGTACTGAAAGGGCACCTCGGGGAACCCCAATATTTGGAGTGGAGGAGAGAAGCCCATGAGGAAGTCAGGCAGGAGGAGGGAGTGGCTGACGAGTCAAAGGGAGGAGAAGCTTAAGGATTTAGGTGTCCCCGTGAAAGGGTCATGAGGTCATCGGTGGGACAAGCTCGAGTGTGGTGGCCGGATGACTGGGTGACATGGGACACTGGGCACTCTCAAGTTTGGAATGAGAGCCCAAGGGGGCTGAGGGCGTTTCTTACAAAGGAGGGCAGGATGGCGAGATGTTACAGGGAAGGGGACAGCGGTAGACGATGCTGGCGCCCCTGTGGCACAGAGGTCTCGGTGTGGGGGCCTCATGTCAGGGCTCCCCGCCGGGTGACCTCGGCGGTCAGGGAGGAGGAGGGTCCTCTACTGAGCGGAGCAAGAAGGAGCAGCGTGGGGGTGGCCTTGTGGAGAATGAGCGCTGACCGGGCTGTTCTGGAAGGCATGTTCTGAGCAGAATAGAGAAGGTGTTCATTGACATGGATCCAGAGGGAGGGTCAGCAGGGAAAGGGCTAGAAGGATCTGGGAAGAACGTGGGAAGCCCCAAAGTCGAGAGAGTGGGCTGAGAAAGGGGCCCAGGGCTTGGAGGCTTGATGGGGGGGGGGGGGGGGGGGGGGGGGGGGAACGAGGAGCAGTCAGTCAACATTCACGAAGTGTTGGAGTGCCCGCCGCCCTCCAGGTCTGGGGACACAGTAGACTGTGCACAAAACAGACCCGTGCCTCTGCCCCGATGGGAGCTCGCGGGCTGGGAAAGACAGGACAGCTGGGACACAGGGGTCCTCGTTCGGGAGGGTAAGCGAGCTCCCAGGGAACCTGCAATGACTGGCGGAACGACCAGGTCGGACGACAGAGCGCGGTGGCACCATGGTCTGGGAGCTGGAATGTGCGTCCTTAACGTACGTGTTGCCTGAGGTGTGTGGTCAGCAGGTGGAGACAGCGGTGTCGGTGAGGCCGAGGGTGTGGAGTGGGTTTCTGGAAAGCTCTGGGAGTTGCGGGAGGGAGTCAGGAGGGGGGCTGCTCGCTCAGGTAAGATGGCCGCGGCCCCTCCGCTCACTCCCCCGGGGGGTGCCGGAGCTTTGTGGTAAGAGGGGACACGGAGACGAGGCCATCGGCTGGGCCATTCCCCTCGCCCGTGACCCAGCCCACGCGCCGCCACCCGTCTGCACCCGCCAGCTTCTCTGGCTCTTGCCTCCTGGAAAGACCATTTAGGCGGGGCTTGGACATCGGGGTCCTGCCAGCCCAGCATCCTGGAAACGCACAGGACCGAGCAGGTGTTAGGCTCGTTGTGTGGCGAAGGCAGCGGCACGCGTGGGCACGGCCTCCTTCACGTACACTTTGCGTCCTGCCCGCAGATCCAGCAGACCTCCGTGTTTTAGGGCACGCCGCACCGTTATCCAGAAATGGCCGGTTAGCCTGTTCTGGCACATTCCCCTCCAGAAAAATCCAGTCACCAGTCTCACCTCTGACCCTAAATATTTCATTCCACTGAGTTTTACTGTCTTAAGCGGTGTCAGCTGAAGCTTTTTTCTTCTTTCTAGCACCGCCTGTTTCTTGTCAGGGTTGTTTTCCCCGTTTCCATCTGGGGTAACTTATGCACACATTTTGTCTGTCTGGGAAGGTACGGACTTCCAGTGAATTTCCAGGCGGTGCTCCTCCAGCCTCACAAGAAGTCCTCCACCAAACGTTTAAGAGAGGTTCTGAACTCTGTCTTCAGACATCTGGATCAAGTAGCGGCGGCAAGCGTGTTGGATGTAGGTATACGATCCAGAAGCGGCTGGGGTTCTGTGCTAAGGTCAGCCTCCCCACCTGGGAACTTGCCAGATCCCGAAACTGCCTGTTACGAAGATGTACGTTTCACAAATGCGAAAGTGTAACAAGGAAGAGGCTGTGTGTGTGTGTGTGTGCGTGTGTGTGTGCACGCGTGTGTGGCGAGGGTGCGCTGCGCGGGGCAGAAGATACCGTCACGGCCCGGAGAGCCTCCTCAAAAACATAAAGACGGGACAGCGAACTGCCTTCTGCACCTAGAGCGACAGCGCCGCGTCCTCTTTTGCAGGCGTCTGTGGACATCCCGGGACTGCAGCTCGGCAACCAAGACTACTTTCCTTACGTCTATTTCCACATCGACCTCAGCCTGCTCGACTAGGAGCCGCTGGCCCCACGAGGCCTTCCCGTCCGTGCAGACTCCGCAGACGCCGCTCTTTCCCTCGGCCGCGGAACCCCACGGAACTTAGAGTTTGAGAGAAATTGCTCACAAAAGTTAGTTACAGTTGTATTTATTTTTTTTTAAGTTACAATAAAGAAATGCCCCGTCCTTTGAATGGTCTTTTATGTTCGAACGTAATTCAAAACCTCACTTTACATAAATGGGGACTGCCTAGAAATTGGTCACCTGCTGTTTTAATTTTGTGTCTTAACGGATCTCTTGGGACGGCTTGGGAAGAACATTAAAAATCTTGAGCTGACCGTATAACCAGCTAAATTTCCTAAGTCCGTGGGGATGGCCCAAAGACAAAAGGTTGGGCACGAAATGTTCTCAACGGACAACCCACTGGTTTTCATCCTTCTTTCCGTAAACTCGCCTTACGTTTCACATTCCACGGATGGCACCTGGCCTTGCGGGACACACGTAAAAATCCGTATTGTGGCAGGCGTCCAGATGGTGTCCTTGGAATCACAAGTATTTTATAGGGAGGAAAGACATCAGGGTCATCCCTTCATGGTATCAATTTACTGGCTAAATTTACTGAATTTATGATGTGGACACTAATTTCATACGTATATTGGCATTGTCCAAAATATTATTTTATTTTTTAATGGAAAAAAGCCATCAATATTCAAATGAAAGAATCACATTAAAAAACTTATATATAAGAAACAGCCTCCAAGAACATTCAAGCAGCAGTCAGAGAGAGGGAGGGAAAAATATTTCAACAGCCCATCAGTTTTCTCCAAAATATTACTTGACAGAATACAACCCAATTCACCGGCTACAACAATTCATAGAATTTTTCATTGTTTTCTTGAGATGCAAAAGTTCACTGTTGCAGTGTTTTCAAATGACCAATCAAGTGCTACTTCTTGGTTAAAAAGGCCACTGGTAGATTCATCTGATCGTGAAGAACATTCCTTCACTGCTGGGGAAATCTGCTCCCAAGAAAAGAAAACTGAAGTCTGTGCCAAGCCTCTCACAGCTCGTCCTTTTCCAAATCGTCCAGCTCCACGTCACTGAGGTCAATGTCGTCTTCCACGGGAAGCTGGGAAACAAAGCCACTCGTTAGGCCCTGCAGGAAGAGCTGGGAGAGCTCGCGGGCTCACGGCGGAGGAGCAAGGTAGTTTCTAGAGACACCCCAGATCACAGAGCCGGTTGTGCCCTAATCTGGCTCCCGCTTTTAGCTTTGCCTATCATTTTACAGGCGGAAAAGCGGAGAACTTAGGTGAGGTAGGATTTTAACAAATCACCTACCTCTTTAACACCGACAGCTACTTAGCTCATCGTTTTGAGGGGGGAGGGGCAGAAGTGTGCCAGAATCCACGATAATTCCAAAGCTGTAATTTTGTGCTTCTCAGATACAAAGTAAATGGATTCCGGGGGAAATGCTCCGTTTAGCAGTAATCATCAGGAATGAAACCTCATTCCTGAAATTTATCTTGGTTGTCTGTCAAGACTCTGTCACGCAGCCCTGAAAGGCTCGTGAGGTTATGGCACTTCTGACACCACGCCACGGGCCACGGATGGAAAGGACTCGGCCTACAAACAGCAAAGGCGCCCTGGGCCGGGGAAAGTGAGGAGAGGCGGGACAAGCACCCCGGTGATGAGTCCCACATGCGCGTGGCCTCCAGCCCTGGGGACTCACCTCGCCATCCTTGCCGTCCCAAGGCTCTCTGGTGCTGATGGCGGGGAAGGCCCCACCTCCCACAGGTGCTGTAGATCCTCGCCCAAAAGAGAGCTCCCTGAGGGGACAGTGACCAAAGCAAGGACATACTGATGAAGACACGATGTGTTAAAACAATGACTCGCCTGCTAAGTTTCTGCACAGGTGCCTCTCACGTCTTGCTCCCGCACAGTACTATCCGTTCAAGCAAGGACGACAACGTAACCAGGCATGAAATGACTACGGTCTTGGCATCAGATAAAGCTAGTTACTACTACTAATTAAGAAAAATAAACTTATTTTGCTAGAATACAAATTTAAGTACGCAAAACCTATCAACATTCACGTAGAACACAGGCAAAACGTTTGATGAACAAAATTGTAGACTAACCCCCAAAACACTTTATGAAAGATGGCATCTTAAAACGAAAATTCGGGGCGCCTGGGTGGCTCAGTCGGTTAAGCGTCTGACTTCGGCTCAGGTCATGATCTCGCGGTCCGTGAGTTCGAGCCCCGCGTCGGGCTCTGTGCTGACAGCTCAGAGCCTGGAGCCTGTTTCAGATTCTGTGTCTCCCTCTCTCTGACCCTCCCCTGTTCATGCTCTGTCTCTCTCTGTCTCAAAAATAAATAAACGTTAAAAAAAAAACAAAAAACAAACAAACAAAAAAAACACGAAAATTCGGTTTCCTTCCCCAGACTTCCAATAGCGAGCAGAAGCACTTAACACCAGCCCACAGGCAGATCTAGAGGTGATGGTGGCAATCCTCATCTCAGACTTTTAAGACACAGAAGAAAGAGTTCTATGGTGACAGGGCGTATTAGGTCTTGCCTTTGACCAATTCTGATAAACATTTCATTAGAAAGATGTAGAGGCAACTGCCAGACTGGGAGCAAGCCTTCTTTAAAAAGTTTCCAAATGGTGAAGGGTGCTTGGACTACAGGGAAGAGAGGAAAAGAGACAGGAGTGGAAATGTCCCACGTGTGTTTGACAGTTCTTTGGCTCGGTGGAAAAGGGGGGAATTCTATCCACTGCCTTTGGCTACCCTGCATTTTTTATGACGTATTATCAGTGGTTCTCAACGGAGCGAGTTTCTCCCTAGGGGACATGTGACAACGTCTGGAGACATTTTTATGATCACAACTGTGTGTGTATGCGGACAGTGTGCAACTGGCATCTAGAGGACAGGTACTAAACACCCGGTAACACACAGGACAAACTTCTGGCCCACGATGTCACAAGCGCCAACGTCGAGAAACCCTGGTGTCCGAAGAGGAGTTACGTTCAGAAAACCGATTATCCACACGCTCTAGAGCCGCGCTCCACCGCCATCCGCTGAGCTCTAAGTGTAACACAGGGCAGGATGCTGGCCTCCACGCCGATGCGCGTGCAGAGTCGAGGTACTGGGCACAGCGAGTCAGACCTGTGTCTCTCGTAGTCCATCAAAAACCTACACTAGAATGGCTCCATTTGCCGTGAGGGGGCACAGGCCAACCCAAGCTCTGGCTGACATAAGAAATACAAACCCATGCAAGTAATCAAAGGCAAGCCAGTGGTTCTACTTCTTACTAGTTTGGGACCCTTAATCCGATTATTCATCTCTGAACATCAGTCTCTTCATCAAGAAGATGCCGAGATGTAGGGAGTCGGTGCTCAGAAAGCAGCTACCTTCCTACTTTTTTTCTTTAATTAAAAAAAATTTTTTTAATGTTTATTTTAGAGACAGAGCATGAGTGGAGGAGGGTAGAGAAAGAGAGGGAGACACAGAATCCGAAGCAGGCTCCAGGCTCTGAGCTGTCAGCACAGAGCCCGTCACGGGGCTCAAACTCACGAGCTGTGAGATCATGACCTGAGCCGAAGTCAGACACCCAACCGACTGAGCCACCCAGGTGCCCCAACATTCCTACTTAATGTCCTCGGCAGCAGCAAACAGAAGGACTAATGGAAAGATGCCAGGCCTCCTTTAAAGCAGAACAAAATTCTTTTCTAATGTTTATGTATTTTTGAGACAGACAGAGAGAAAGAGAGAGAGAGAGAGAGAGAGAAAAACACAGGATCCAAAGCAGGCTCCAGGCTCTGAGCTGTCAGCACAGAGCCCGATGCGGGGCTCAAACTCGTGAACCATGAGACCATGACCTGAGCTGAAGTCAGATGCTCAACCGACTGAGCCACCCAGGCGCCCAAAAAGGAACAAAATTCTAAGGGAACTATGCCTTGTGGGCAGGGTTCAATGGTTTAAAAAAAAAAAAAAAGTGTTTTAACAGCTCAGTCCCGCTCCTCCCCCGCGCCCCCATTCTCTTTGCAGGGCTAAATGCTATCGTCTCTTCTCAAAGAGCCCCGAGAAACACAGCTGCTGCTTCAAACAATGAACTTCTGTGAAACTCGAGTCCTTTCTTCACTTCCGGCTGCCTCACGCACAATGACGTACTCGTGTTGGGCTGCTACACCGAAAGGAACACTTCAATAACACGCCTGCAGGGAGAGGTATGGGAATCACTAACACTCGTCTCGGGTTGACTGTAGCTGTGAGTTACTGCCAGTGTATTCATCACAGTCCGTCTCAGCTTCAGGTCCGTGGTTTTCAAGCGCACACGTTGGTGGACGTGGACACCAACTCCCTGGCGGGCCCGGCACCGTCTACCGGCGACGAGCTGCGCGCACGTCCAGTCTCGTCAGAAAACAAGGCGCACGGGACTAGAGACAAGTATACTGTCGCCCACTGTGTCTCCTTTCGACCCATTACTGCGTCCTCTTCCCCCCTGGTAACTGGGTGGGTTCTGAGGTTCTCTGCTGCCTTTAAGGCACGAAGTTGGAGAACCAGTGGCCTGTACGATCTCCAGCGCAACAGCGACGGTCTCAAGTTGACAATACGCTATTGTCCGCAGCTTTCCCGCGAACCAGCCACCTCCTCCGTACTAAGACACAAAACACGCGACAAAGAACAACAAACCAGAGAAGGGAAACTGGTTGAAAAGAAATGTGAATAAAATCAAAGCCGCAGTTAGACCTGCCATTTCCAGTGAGTCCACAGGCTCAACCTCATGGTTACTGATCCCCCTCAAACATTTCTTACGATTTTCTCACAAATTTCTTAAGATTCGTGACATTGGAATCAGCTGCTGAAAAAGGATGACATTGGATGAGCACAGCTGACCCCTGCACGTGGGGTGAGCCATACAAGTCCACTCGCAGAATTTTACGGTAATGTGATTGTATTTTCTATCATTTTCTTAATAACATTTATTGTCAGAATACAGTAGATGGTACATAAACCATACAAAAAACGTACTATTTACCAAGAGCTGCCGATCAGCCAGGCCCTGTAGTAGTAAGCAGACAGAAGGTCTGTGAGAGATGTGCCTGTGAGACTCAGTTAGGAGGACGAGGCATGAACCAAATTACCGCACACCTGAGAATTAGCGCAGTGTCGATGCCTCATGTTTACCTGAAAGATGATCAAATCAATTTTTGGAGGAGTTGAATGGCCGGGCAAGACAGAGAGCTCTATCAACTGGATTTTGAGTTTCAGAACCTATTGTGTTGTTTGCACGTTGCTGGAATCACTTCAGAAGTACACGTTCTACCGCTACCGGCCAGAAACGGAAGCCGCGTTAGCGGAGGTGAGAGGCACAAAGCATGCTGGGGGGGGCGGAGGGCTGCTACCAGCCCAGAGGAGACTTGCATGAGATCAGAGAGCTCGATGCAATGGCGCAACAGCAAGGTGGCCTCTTCCCCTACAGAATGCTTCCACAGAAAAGAACAAAAGCGCAAAAACGATGACTTAGAACTCAAAACACCTAATTCCCCGGAATGCCAAATGCACACTAACTCCACGCACTGCCTGGTCTACGTAAACCTAGCTTTGAACCCACGCCACGCAGAACCAAGCCACAGAACAAAAACAACTCAAGGAGGCAAGAGATTACCTGAGAAACTCGTTAATGCCTTGCTCGCTGAAAGATCCTTTCAGAAGAGCAAATTTCATCTTGCGTGCGTTGATGGCTGCCATGGCAGGGTACCCGAAGCCTCCGATCCCCAACGCATTTTCAAGTTCAGATTGGGCCCCAGCTTCTGTCCACAGCCACCTAGAAAAACAGGCTTGTTTTAGGGTGAAGATCCCTTTCAAAGTAGTTAGAATCGAATCAGCAGATACTAAAAAAAACAAAAACGGATTACACTCCCAACATTTTATGGAATGAAATGGATGTAGAAACAGAAATAAAATACAAAAATAATGTATTCTGGATGTTCCCTACACTCTACCTCCAGAAGTCTCCCAAATCTATATACAGTTTGCTCCCAGCCTCCAAAATACTGTCCGCTAAACCTGCTGGGTTTTCTGTCTCTATTACCTGAAATCCTACTAATGTCACTTGGACAACTGGGCACGTTCGCCAGTAGGATAACTTCTTCTCAAGACTTACTGGTGTATCATTATTCAATCCCTGTAACAATGCTCAGCCACAGTTCTTGCTCAACTTCTACAACGGTGAAGAAGAAGGATGCCAGAATGCGGTGCTCTGTAGGCACACCACACTTTGTTGAACTAATGGGAGGGGGCACAAGGTCACTTGAGGGGGACAGCAATGGCCTGAGGAGGGTGAGACAGCAACGGATAGAGGACGAGAAACAAAAAGGTAAATCGGAAAGAAGCAGACATACTTTGTTTTAAAAGCACACCTGTATCTGGGGCGCCTGGGTGGCTCAGTTGGTTAAGAGTCCAACTTGATTTTGGCTCAGGTAATGCCCTCACAGTTCATGAGATCGAGCCCCAAGCTGGGCTCCGTGAATTCTCTCTCTCTCCCTCTCCCTGCCCCTCTCCCACTCATGCGTGCGCTCTCAAAATAAACTTAAAAAAAAATAAAACAAAATAATTCTTATGAGAAAAGGTACTGTGGCACAGACAGGTAAAAGACTTGCATTACTTCTTTTCCTTTTGAGAGACGAAGAGACACAGCACAAGGTGGGGAGGGGCAGACAGAACCCGAAGCAGACTCCAGGCTCTGAGCTGTCAGCACAGGGCCCGATGCAGGGCTCGAACCCACGAAGATCATGACCTGAGCCGGAGTCAGACGCTTAACTGACTGAGCCGCCCAGGCACCCTGAACCAGACAGTATCCGGGTAGCACTATGCTCTCCTGTCCAAATCATACTGAGAAGATAAGTTCAGCAACTTACCCCCACATTTTCTTTTTGTATTTGTCTGCCAACTTAAGAAGAACTTCTAAGTACGAGTTTCTGCCAGCAGCTCCTAATTTAAACAGAAAATTTTGAAAAGGTAAAAATAAAAGAATCCGAAACATTCATCAGCTTAGAAAGCGTTCTCAGAGCAGGCAGCACAGAGCAGTCAGGGCGAAGGGCGCCCCTGTTCGCCGTACCCGTGTCCAGGATGTGGGGCAGCACGGCCACGACACACAGCTGGTGCTCCTCACAGGTCTTCTTAGCGATGTCCTCGTCGATGATCTGTGGGCCCAGAGCATAAGGGGTGGTTGGAAGGCCACGGACACAAAACCCAAAGGTGAGCCTGATGACAGAGACTCGGCATCATCACGTTCAACGAAGAGCAAAGACTTCAAGAGACAGAGCGACTCCCCCTGACACTCCAGGTTCGCGCTACGGCACCACGGACAGCTGGCCTTCCGGGTCTGTCCCCGGGCCATCCCGGTGCTGACTCGGCGCCTGCCGACACACGTGGGCTCCAAAAGCAGACAGCCTCGGAGGAGCCTGGCTCTGACAATCACCTAGCTAGACAGACACATGTGTATTATATATTTATGGGGATCTGAGGCTCTCTGTGCCTCTGTTTCCTCACATAAAATGAGATAAAAACAGTATTTGCCTCTAGGCATTCATGTGCGAACTGAAAGGAAAATATACGTAAGAGCAGAATGATGCTGTCACACCGTCACATGACGAGGTGCTCCACAAACAGCAGCTGCGGCTGAGACAACGGGGAGAGAGTGGCCAGGCGCGTTCTATTTTTAAAAAGCTTGGCACACTCGTCCTCCTAGTGTAAGGATTGTAGTACTAAAATTATGAAAAGCAGCAGTTTATCAGGCAGGTTTTCCCCACTTGAAAGTCCAATAATACTTTAAAGAGAGCATTTTAGGGGCGCCTGGGTGGCGCAGTCGGTTAAGTGTCCGACTTCAGCCAGGTCACGATCTCGCAGTCCGTGAGTTCGAGCCCCGCGTCAGGCTCTGGGCTGATGGCTCGGAGCCTGGAGCCTGTTTCCGATTCTGTGTCTCCCTCTCTCTCTGCCCCTCCCCCGTTCATGCTCTGTCTCTCTCTGTCCCAAAAATAAATAAACGTTGAAAAAAAAAAAATTTAAAGAGAGCATTTTAAAAGAGAAGGGACAAAGTCCATTTGGAAACACCAAAGGAGTGTCATTACTGTGTGAGAGCCTCCCCCATCAGACATGGTCGGTTCTGATCACGAGTGACGGAAGCGGTTTACCTCAAGCAGCTCAGGAGGTGGGGCATTGTCAGAAAACAAATCCAGGGCCCGGGAGACGATGTCAGATCGCGTCCGCCCCCCATCGTAATCCACAGGAGATTCCCCCTTCTGAAATATCTTGATTGTAGGAAATCCCCTAATCTATTAAAAAAGACAAGAGTATAAAATCAAACTAGTATTTAATAAGGAATAATCTTTACAGGTTCTAAGGCTAGCTTATAGGTAATTTAATAGAATAATATTCCGAGGCTACGTCAGTGATCAGGGAGGATACACAGAGGTCTGTTGATCAGGCAGTTTTAACAGCCTGCCCACCAGGCTTAGCGGAGTATTATTCAAACCTTCCATATGTACTGAATACAATGTTATCTGCTCTAGAACAAGCAGACCAACTTCAAAAGCACTAGTAGTGACTTGTAAGAGCCTAAGCAGGCTGAAAATGCACATGCAGCACACAGCAGAAACAGTGAGATATTGGACTTAGAGAGAGAGAGAGAGAGGGAGGGAGAGAGAGAGTCAGTCCTGAGTTCAAGACTCGTTAGTTTTAACAATAAAGTAATTTAGTTTCATCACAAAATGGCCAAACATCTCCCCTCCTACCACACAGGGAAGCCCGGATACCCGATGAAGTCACAGCTGAAAACAGCGTGTACTCCTCAAAGACGTTCGCCATCTGGACACTCACCCCATACCGGCTGGCTAGAACCTGGTTAACCGTGGCGTCCACAGCCGCGAGCTTCACTTTTCCTTTGGTTTGCTCTTTTACCTCTGTGGCTGCAGCAGCCCATTCTGGCTCAAGACTATGGAAAAATATTTGCACTTTAAAAGTGTGTTTTAACCGTCAGCACGAACACTTTAACCGAGACGCACATCTCTGCCCAATCCAGTCACACCGCGCTTGGAAACCACCGTGCGTAGCTTTGTAGCTTTGCGTACAATGTGATGCTGTCTTTTCACATTCACTTCCCAGGTCTCTGTCACTCCCTCCCCCGCGCTAGGTCCCTGTTAATCTTTGAAGCTGTGACAGAAGAAACTCGGCACCAATGCCAATGTTTAACATTCACTCGCCGTCAGAGCCTTCCTTGAGGAGATCTTGGTGACTGACCTGCCGTCTGGGTCAGCTTTTTCAGAGCCAGCTAGGTGAATATATTAAAAGCACTGGGGGGGCGCCTGGGTGGCGCAGTCGGTTAAGCGTCCGACTTCAGCCAGGTCACGATCTCACGGTCCGGGAGTTCGAGCCCCGCGTCAGGCTCTGGGCTGATGGCTCGGAGCTTGGAGCCCGTTTCCGATGCTGTATCTCCCTCTCTCTCTGCCCCTCCCCCGTTCATGCTCTGTTTCTCTCTGTCCCAAAAATAAATAA